CCCTCTCTTACTATCAATATTTTTCCCACGACCATTCTTTTTTTTTTTTACTTGTTGCTCTTTTTTAACACTAATATTATTTATGGATACAAATTAATGAATTTGTCGTGTGATTTGTTTACACGCTACTTTTAATATATGCTATAGAGATTTCTTAAAAATTTTATTACAGGGAGGATTTTTAGGATCAAGAATTCGAATACAGATGACGAAGAAATCGCTATTTAATATGTACTAGCCTCCAAATTTGAAAATATTATGAGTCACAAACCCGAAACTTATTCTAGAAAAAAAATCATATATAAATTCTACTCCCAGTCCAAAGAATGACACAGACACCAATATCATATTTTTCTATACCAATATAATATTAGCTCTTGGTAATGTAAGTATTTCATAAAGGCTCCGTTAATTTTTTCTCTACTTTTGTTTTGCTTAAGTAGTTTCTATACTGAATTCTAGAGTAAAGACGACTTTTTGTGTCGCGTCGGATTCTAGACGAATATGCTTCTTGTTTGCCAATAGTTTTACATTGCAGTGGTAAGAAAAAAACTATTTGTTACTTGTTAGCGAGGTACGTCTTTGATTGTGCTTTGCAACGCCTTCTAGCTTCAACCTTAGAAACCACAAGAATAAATTACTATATGAAACACTAATAAATTTACTATATTTTCTTAGTATTCAACTTTGAACTACACAATTCTCTCCAGATCAAAGAAGAAAACATTTTGTAACATTTTAACTATTTTATAAGAGGAAGAGGTCTATTCACATATGGTTCATTCTTGAATAATGATACTATAAAAAAAAAAAAAAAAAAACCATCTAAGAGATGAGCTCAAGTGGGTCCTCGTTAATATATCTTTTCTTATATGTAATGATAATAATAAGATACAATCATACAAATAAGTGTGTGAAAAAGAGAAAAATGTTAAGAGAATGATGAGAAGGTATGGAGAGATTTGTACTGTAAACTGCACACACTTTTGAAGTGTACGTTTGTGTGGTGTCGCTGTCCTTCACCAATCACCAAACTCCGTTTCAACCTAACCAAGCCTTATAAATCGGTAATCACGTGATTAACCAACGGTTTATGTTTTGTAACTGAATTACGTGACAACATCTTGTCTCCATTCAACCCAGCCGAACCTAACCGACCCGGTTTTTTTCCAGCGGAGAGTTGGGCTTTCCAGACTTTGCAATAAATCCGAGTGAATGAGATTAAGCCAAGCCCACTGAGTGACTTAATATTCTCAAGATATGTAGATAATAGGCCTTGTTGTTTGGGCCTGTCTTAGGCCTTAACCAAAGTTAGTATATAATAACTTAATAACTATATATCTCGATAAACTTCTCCGCTAGACTCTTCTTTGGTGTGCCTATATTGAGCGTAGCCCAAATTAGCTTATATCTCGTTTATTGATGTGAAAGGAAAGATTACAGTTAAAAACAAAAAGTCAAAAACCATTTCATGCATAAAAAGAGAGAAGCAGAATCGTTTTTTTTTTTTTTGTCGGAAAACGTCAATCGAATCAAAGTCAGCTGACCTAAAAGTTCAATTTTACTTTTTGTTTATAGATACCACAAATCATAACATTATATTAATATTAAAAAACTTAGATCGAATCTACGTGAAGGACTCCGCAAAGTAAAAAATAATTTGAGCTACGTGTTATTGGCATTCGAATTTACCTAAATTCTTTTATAGTAAACAGATTTATAACCTGTGATATTACCAAAAATTCCAAAAACATATACAATCGAACCACATATATTCAATTTTGATTATATTTTAATTTGGATTGGTCATTATTTTCATGAATATAACAGCTATACCAAGTCCTAATTAAGTCTAGAACCAATATATTGCCCACCCCTAATTGCCACAATACTACTCCCGACGATATCGATCTAGAACCAATATATTGCCCACCCCTAATGGCAACAATACTACTCCCGACGATATCGATCTAGATCCATTCTTTAAAAACCTAAACAATGGTTTTCAATCGACAAGACATGCAAGAAATCCAAAAATTTATATTGAGATATAAATGGATACATGCATAATATGTATATGAATATATATATATATATATAATATCTATATAAAATGAATACACAAATTGACAACCATTCTCTTAATTGCCAACCAAAGTGACATATCTTACCTTCCTCAGTTCCATCAGTTATTGATTTCCCCCCTCAAAAGTTTCTGACCTTTATAAAAAGTTGGGATAAAGACATGCAATCAGTTAAGCAGACCTATTTCTGTATTATGTTCACAGTTTTGGGCGGTTTTTTCTTTCATCCAAACACTTTCCTTTTTACACCAAAGTAAAAAGTTGTGATGCTTCTAACGTTTCGAGTTTTAAATCAGTCTCTCTATCATATATATTGTGAGAAAAAACAATATATTGAATTCATCTAGTTAATTCAACTAGATGGAAGGAAGATTCGTTGAATCATGCCATAATTCTATTATTAACGTTAGATGCTGGTCTTAGTCTAGAAAATATAGATAGAAGAGTTTCTTTTTTTTTAAGAGAAAAACAAAATTGTTATTGCCAATTTATGTAAAAAAAAACTATGCTCGAGGTAAGAGACAAAAGGGCCGCTGGTTTCAGTTTTCTGTACACATACGTACCCACCGGAATCAGCCCTAATCGTAATACTTTATTTTCGTTATCTTTTCTTTCATTTTCTAAATTTCAAATCAATCTCTATAATGCATGAAAACGTGAACTTCTCTGCCTATTGCTCTAGTTGACATAAATAAAGGTGCAAGTATCCTTGGTATACTATACATTTATACATTATCATAAACTAAAAGATAGATATAAAATAAATAAAGAGAGTGTATATAAAATCGAAACAAAGGAGTTTTAAGGGGAACCATGCATGTGTGAATTAAGAATCCCGAGTAAACGGTAATAGCATCGATATATACAACCACGACAATTCTTAATTTTTCCCTGAACACCCAATTCCTTAGTTTTCCCCCAAATTGATAAATTTATTTTTATGTTTTTGTCAACAATTGAATAGAGTCAGCAAGAAAGAAAACAAAAACAATGAGCTTGAGGAAGCCCGGGAAGGGTAGAGGTGTGTAAAACGACCGGAAGCTAAGGGCACAAAAGGAAAGTTATGAGCTCCGTGATTGGATCGATGGCTCCCAATTGGGAGCTTCTCTTCGCTGTCATTTCAAAGAATCTTCTCATCATTTTTCTGTTACTAATTAATTAGGTTTCTCTGTCTAATAATATTTTTTTGTAAGTATTTATACGAATCCACTAAAAACGTATCTCATATAATTCCAATTTTATAAATTATATACACATATATGTTAATGTCATTCCAAGTGGCAGTACATTGTTCGTACATATAGAAAAGGACCTATAGATATTTTATATTTATGTATATACTGATGAATGTGTAGTTTTGTAAAGTATTCTCCCTTCTTCTTTTTTATGTGGGGTGATGTTTAAAGTAGGAAAATGTTAGAACATATGCCAGATATCTGTATTTTTGTGGGGTTTAGGATGGAGGCAAGGTCATTTTCATAAATACATATATAACATTATTGTAACTTTTAGAAAGTATTGTGACATTTTTTTCTTTCTCTCTAAGTGCATTTCCTTTTCAAATCTACACAATTTTATGTGTAACTGAAAACAGGTAGCTGATAATTCCATATCTACCGATTATTTGACAACAAAATAATCAACCCAAAATTAATTGACAAGTATATAAATGAACTTTGAATCCAAAATCGATAGACACTAGTGAATAGTGATTGCGCTTACCACGTTTTTCCTTGTCAACGCGATTCCACTGCATATGAATAAATAAATCCAGTTATAAAATTAAATTTTGTAACTCACTATTTATCAGTTTGACCACATTTACTCGTCTAGACCTTATTAAGCAATTTCCATATGGTTGTTCCACAACTACCAAATTACTTATGCCGCCGCAACTATTCGAATTTATAGCTGTATTTATTGTATAAGATATAATTGTCCTTATTGTACTAAACCATATTTAAAATTGAAGTTAAAATTACTCATCTTCTATACGCCTCCATGCCTGATGACTACTTTATACTTCCACGGTTTAATGAAAGATGTTAAGAAAAACATAGACACATCTATGTTAAAAAAAAAAAGACATAGACACATCAATTTTTTTTTTAAGAAAAAAGATATAGACACATCTGAGTAGGAACAAAAAGTAATAGACATATCTATTGTTTTTAGAAAAAAAAAATACATATTTTCGAGAAGAAAAAAAGACATTCATATTATAAAAAGATTCTGGAGATCGCGAGAAAAGGGAGGCAATAATCTTTAACTACTTTTAAGTAATAGCATTAGTTTAGAGTTATCAGCTTTTTTTTTTTTTCGGCTGTTTAGAGTTATCAGCTTCGCAATGTTAAAGTACACAGTTTCCGTAGTAAAACATATAACACTGATTAAATAAAACAAAATGAAATGATTATGTGTACCGTAGACTGTACTTTTTACTGTATGGAGAAAGTGAAGACAAACAAAAAAAAATAAGTTGAGCAGAGTCAGGCGAAACAGATAAAATGGGCTAATAGTCTTTCCCTCACATGGCCTTGGTCGGATTCAATATTTTAAGTATTTCACAAAATTTATTTCAGGACTCTAAAATTTTCCTCCAACATTTTATGGTTTAAGCTTATTCGTTGTAAGAGTTTCCTGCTAAGATTATGTACTAAATATTCCCGCATTATTTATGTAGTGCAATTGTAAGGATCAACTAGCTAGAAAAATAATGATGCGGATGAGTTAGATAAAATAAAACGTGATTCCTGAAATTAAACCAGTAGTTATATTACTATTGGTGATTTTATCCGGAGGAGGCATAATTTAACTAAACTTGTATATTATGTAACAAACAACAAAGATTTGTACTTTGTGTTTGATGTTTTAATTCTTAAAGAAATATAAATTTTGATTATAAAAGTCAAGGAATTTACAGAGAAAGGTGATAGATCAATATTAAAATCAAAAGCCCTTTGAATCATACTCACGTTCTCTCTTTCTCATGAAACCCAAATGTTCATTTGTCTTATTTACATTTTACAGTCTTGAACTCGGAATCGGACTCGGGATGACTCGGTGAACGACTCCACCCACCTTTTAACCGCCATCTCCTTCTCTCTACCCGCAACCTCGCCTGACTCGACTCAGTGAGTAACTCGCCACCCGATTAAAATTAGCACCACCCGACTCGGTGGTAACTTAGCCGAGTCAATGACAATGATTTATTACATTCAAAATTCGCCTTCTGTACTTCTTCTGATTCCCTCAAATGTCGATTAAACCCGTTCCGAGTCAAACCGTGTCAGAAATCGTACAAAACCGACGCTCTTCTCCGTCGATCTCAAAAAGAATCACCAGATTGCTTTCTCGGCGACGCCGTGAAGCAACGGCCGAGATTCGATCAACAGATCTATCTTGCTTTTGATTCCTACTCCGTGGTGGCATTTCTGGAGATCGTCGGGACAAGTAAACCGGCTCGACCGTGACGAATCGGACCGGGAAATGAACCGAATCGCTTCCTCGAAAACCGATTCTTCACAAGGGATAACCAACGGTCCCTGGTTCGCGAAACCGTACTCTTCCTCTGCTTGGACGAGGAGGTTACTCAGGATCGGATGGTTCAGGTACGACGCGCGCACCACGAATCTCCTGCAATCGCTACCCACGCAGACTGCCACGTGTCCAGATGGAACATCCGACGGCACACAACGGCTCACTGAAGATAACCGTGCTTTGTTGCGCCATCGCCGGAGCATTTGCCTGAGTCTCACAATGTGGCGGATCTTGCTGCATTTTCCGAGTCCTCCGGCCATTATTTTTTTTTATCTTCTTCAGTTTAGTCAATATTTTGAAGTAGAAAAGGCGGAATCTTCGAGTCCTGATTTTTCTTTATTTTTGTTCACGAGAAAGCGAGAGAGAAAGTGAAAGAAAAAATGTCAGGTGGAGGGATTTGAGCATTTGGGAGAGACGAAGTTTAAATAGTGAAGGGAATACAACAATGCCCTTAACTTTTTGAGATAATTACGAAACTGTCTTCTCTGTCCTTTCGAATTAGTGATTGAATTATTATTTATTTTCTCTTTGTTAGTTCTTAAACCATCAATGGTGGGTTTTACATTAGACCATCTCCAGTAGTAGGTTTTACAAAGATTCTTACCAATTAAAATAAAGAATAAAATTAATAAAATAAGAGAGAGGGTTCTAAAAATCCTTATTTCAGAACCCCATTGTGTAGAGTATCTACATGTGTCTCATTCATATTGGTTAATTTTTAATTTTAAAATTAAAATTTCATTATATAACTATATTATATTAAAATATTAATATTTATTTGTTTACATACCCAAAATGAATATTCTACCATTGGAGATGCTCTTATGGTTCGTATTAGCCCTTAGATTATATATAAGATTCGTATTTTGATGTATCTATCGCTTTATTGACTATATATGTACAAATTTAAAACAGTAACACTGAAATGACATTTAAATTTGTTTGCCAAAAACAAAAACATTAAATTTGTAGTTGATTTTGAATAACCATTTGCCAAGATAAAACCAACATTATTTTTTAAGTTTTAAGTATAAAGTTTTCAAAGATTGGTTTCAGATGAAAGTTTGAAAGAAATAAGACCCACCACATGTGTAGCTGGAATTATTACTTTATGATAAACAATAAACAAAGCATATTACCAAATTGTATAAGCTTGACTCTTAAGTACTAGCAGTTAAAATGTTAACCGAAGATGCTTTTGTGTCCCAAACGACATTTAATTTTATTTTCCAGAAATATATATTTTTTGTAAGGAAATGAAATTAATATAAGAGAACGTACCAAAGCACTTATTTTTTGTAGTTTGGAAATTTGTCCATGCCCCCATGTGCGGCGATGCCCCATCTAATTTTTTTTGCTATCTTGCTTTTGAAAAATATTCTCACAACAACAAGCAGCCAAAACAAATATGCAAAAGAACTAATCATTATATCTTAATCTGTATTGTGAATCATAAAACAATGAACTCCATATGCAATTTGTTACTCTTGGTCTAATATGATCTGCATAGCTCTCCATATTATTCGCTATACTCATTATATTCACTACCAAAAAAAATGTACATACTCACACACACCAGTCTAATCGATTTACTTGAGTAAACATGTTCGTTCATATATATTATAGGAACTGTATTCAACAAGTATATATAGATGCTAACTATTGGCGACTAATGTAAATAGAAGGATATAAATCTATAAAAAATGTTAAAATACTGGAGGTGGGTCAATCAAGTGCATGAAATGGAGGGTAGGGTGCATCCCCCTCATGCGGTACGTACATACCCCACTTGTTGGATTTAAGGATCTTCCAATCTCTTTTCAATTTTTCCTTCTTATAACCAAATCTTATTTGCCTCTGCATATTTCATTATTGCTTACTATATCAATAATTGCATGACCATCCATCGAAATGCTATGCATCGGCATTGTAGTGTCTTTTTCTGCCCTCACATTCACCTATATATATTGCGGATATGATATATATAAATGCGCAATAAAAGCTAATCGCTTATTTGATTTCTACCAAACGAATATTTCGAGCTAATCCACCATGTTGATATATAAGTCAGTTAAGCCATTGTTTATTACAACAAGTTAAAACTTATATTTCTTTAAAAAAGGAACAAAAAGGTAAAACTTATGCAGAAGTCTAGATAAATCTTTGTATATATATTTTCGATTACAAGTTCACGTATCTTTGCCAAAAAACTGACCAATACTAGAGTCTGTAGATGAAATTCGATCTCTCAATTAAGCTCTCCCGAAAATATTCTTGCTAACTTATCTTACCTTATAGAAATATTATAATCTTAACTGTGTGATACATACCGATATATGTTGGCTAAACATTAAGTCACCATTTGAAAATGTATTCAAAACAAATTACTAGTAGGCTTTGTAAACACGAGTCCAAAATCTTGATATATTCAACACAAATTACTATATTTTAATGTATTCGATCAAAAAGATTAGTGTTACATTTATGTATTTCGTGAAGAAAGTATTATGTTAAGTCCCGTAGTATCTAGGGGAAAAACATTTAGAAATTGAGGACCAAAATATTGTTATAACAGTGAAAAGTAAAACTTCCTAACATACCATCTAATCAATCAATTCGAGTAAACCATAGCTGTTTCGATCAACTTCTAGTTGGGTAATTAATTTCTATCGAAGATCACTGTATATATTCCAGACTCAAATTGCTCAACCGTGACATCCAATTTAATGTTCGCGACGATTTGACGACGTGAAGTCGTGAACCAAAAGAATGATCACTTATGGCGTTTGGAGATGACAAGTGGAAAATAGAAGATGATGTGTTAGCCTTCTGGTCAAAGAATAGTCAATAGAAAAAGGATTCTCTAACTCCCTCCGAGGGTTTAGGCACGAACAAAATTATACTCTGCTTTACGGACCCCACGTACGTCTCCGTCCCCGTCACTCTGTTTTGTTTTTGTTTTTATTTAAATTAAAGTTTTTTTTATTTTTTAATTTCCCTATAAACAATTTAAGTATTCTAATTTGTTTCCATTATGAGCCGGTGATTAGCTATAATAAGCAGAGGGGATGAACCTAATTAAAAGTTCTAGTCTTGCTCTATCTTCCATGCTAGGACATAACTAATCATAGCTTTCACGGATCATTAGGCATTGATTAGTATCAGTTAGAAATAAATTTGAGTTCGCTATCTTACCCTGTGAAACATAAAACATAAATAAAAAACGTTTATAAGAATAAAAGTTAAGACATTAGAACTAATAAGTTCAACTACGTCAGAAAAAATATAACCTTTAAAAAAAAAATGACTTTCAGTAGTTATAACAGCTTCCAGCTGTGTACTTCGTAAAACCTTAATGTTAAAAGCTTGAATAAAGGAGTCGACAAAAACAAAAAAAGCTTGAATAAAGGAGAAATCATTAATTAGTACTAATTAAGTGGTCGTGTGTGTAGTCATAGCTGGCACATGCCATGTTTGGGTTAAGTAAATGGCATTAAGAGAGATACTAATCAGTAATCACTAGGACACTAATCAGGATTATGCTTTGTATTTAGGCAAATATCTTTTCGGCGCTTTCTGACAGCTTCTAAGGTTTCGCCACGTCTTCATCTCTTCTCCTAATTATTTGTTTAAAATATAAGAAACATATATTTTTTTAATTAGTTTGTGTAACACTAGATTTGATTACATCATACGATGTAGAATAGAAACAAAAAAGGCGATTTTTTTTTTCTAGCTTATAATAAAAACTAAAATGAGTAAAATCCATACAATTCTAAACTAAAGAATTACCTACATCTAAAGGTAAATATTTAAAGTATTATCCGTTCAGAGAAACTCGCACCTAAAAAGATAACTCTACACATTGAGAAAATCATATTTGAAATCAAACTTCGAGAAATTCAAGATCAACTTATGGTTAAATACAGCTTGCATGGCTAACACCGTTGCCATCGAGCAAAACTGACAACACATTGCTAAAACACTTAACTACAGTTCCTTTTATCTTCTTCTGTTTTCCGAAAAGTAAAAAGAAGGTAAAAAAATAAAAAAGGAGATAAAAGAAACAGAACTCAAAGTTTTGTATAGTTGGAGCGATTATCCTTTTTCGTATATAAGTCAATTTTTACGTATTATTATTTTCAGAGTGGAGAAATATAGCAATCTGACGAAAGAGTTTTCCTAATATATACATTTGTAAGTTGTAACCAGGAAATTATAAATTTTGTCCCATAATTTGCCCACCAATGTTTAGTCATAATTTGAGGGAATCAGTCATTTAAAATATAATGTAATTATTGTAACATTTCTTATGTTATACACTAACACGAGCAAAAGAATATATGTTAAGATGCACTCGTAAGTCGTAACAATGATAGGAAATGATCGAGAATCTTAATTATTGATTGATGAAGAAAACTTTAGTTAACAAGTTTAGTAAGATAAACTGAACTTTTTGATATAGGGAAGTAAAGTTGATCCTCCGAATGCAAGGAAATTACATGATTTACTTAACGATCATTTATACCATTGTTACACTACTGTCGAACATATTTGATATAGAATAACCTATTTTCCGATATTATAGTCTGTCTCCGTAGAATTTTTTTTTCTTATAATTATTTATTTGTGTACCACTATATTTTATCACGGGTTGAACCTCTGAAGAATGGAAAGAGAATAGGCCAAAAGTTTAAACATCCCTAGTTTATAATAACGAAAAGGAAACAAGAAAAGCAGAGGATAACAGCCTTGCATTGCAATTATACAAATAAAGATTTAAAGAATTGACTATAGGAATGGAGGAATAAAGTAGGCACTGACGTATGTGATTTTCATAATTAATCAACTACATTTTCTTTACATTTAGGTAGGAGTGGATAACTTTTTGTTTCTTTTTACTGTGTCCTAGCTTACTCTATTTTGCTAAGAAATGAAAATATTGTATGTAATTAATTTTGTAGCTTTAATAAAAAATCTTATAAAAAGGAATATAAGAGTATATTTCAACAGTCAGATAAAAATATATAATAACTTATGATTATCGACGTAAAACAAGTAAGCAAAATGTGTTATGATATTTTTCTGAGTTTTTCTCTTTAACTTATTCTTTATTCTTATAAGATAACAAAATATATAATATAAATACAGGTAAAGAAAAGTACACTGAAAAAGAATATGTACATAATCGACGAATTACGGAAATATAAATAATGTGAAAAATATTATAATCCAAAATTTTTTGGGCGAATGATTAGTGGTTTTGTTTGAGTCGTGAAGTGAAGTACGTCAATGGGCAAGCCAGTTCATAGACCAGCTCATCAAAATTTAGTCTATGAAAAACGAATATAAAATGCAGAAGACTTCATTTCAATCTGATTTCAATA